CGGCTGCCATGTCAGGAGAAGGATCAGAAGCCTACTTTTATAAAACAAAACCTTCTGGAGGTTTGCATATAAACTCCTTGTAGGCTTGTAAGAGTAAGCAACAGCCAAGGAAGGGCGCTTGGGGAAGGCAGGGCAGATGGCACAGCACACACAGCTATTGCTTTAAACTTTTCCCTCATGGGTACCTGAAGCCAAACTCTACTTCTCAGTAAATATTTGCCAGCAGACACAACTGGCAGTCCTACCCTGCGGCTAGAGGAAGAAAGGATTAATCGGTAACACGGAGCTGATGCCTTCTTACCTCTCATCATTTGGTCCACGCAGTGGATTCTGCCCTCCCAAGCCAAATGTGCTGATGTGATCTCTAATGAACATGATATCCCCTACTTGGAAGTGGGGATTCAGGCCCCCAGCAGCATTTGTGACAATCAAGATCTCCACTCCCAGGAGAAAGAAGACCCTGATGGGAAAGGTGACCTGCAAGAACCAAAGGCATATATGCAACGAGTAGCACAATTCGTAGACTGCTACTACTACTACATTTGTAGTATCACAATTTGTGGACAGCTTACATGATGCAGAGAAGGGTCTATATGAGGCTACAAGGAGGCAAAACAACTTTTTCTCCATTTTAAAATATTCCTCTAATTTAAATAGAAAGAATTTTAATGTTTTTTAAACATATTAAAAACTAATCTTGAAATGAATACCATTAAAATTCAAACCCGCATTTCCTACAGTTGCACTAAAGTTAAATAAACATGGTACAAAAAGAATTTGCAGATGATTTTTCCTTGCTGCCGAGGCCTTGCAGAGACCAAACCGCTCTGCTGATTGAAGTAACTACTTATGCCCATGGACTTGGTGTGTAATTGATAAACCAGCTTTTTACAGCAATGATGCATTTTACAGAAGCATAGAGATTATTTCATTTTACTCAGGTTAGTTCACTTCAGTGACCTGCTTATCCAAAGTTAAGAAACAATTGGGAAATGGAAACAATTTTAAGAAGTTTGATTTTGAGGAGTCAAGAGGAATTGGGATGATATCTGCTACCTCTAAAATGCTAAAGAAGCTGAGAGCAGAAAATTTCCTAACTATGGGCATTACTTCTTAAAATTAACTCATTTCTTAAAGACAAACATGTCTTGATAAACCTAGTTTTGTATCAAGTGCATTTAAAATAGTTTTTTTTCCTAAAAGGTGGTGAGTGGTGCCGAGTATTACAGTTTATATCCAAATGCAAACCAACCTCAGCCACAAGTAAAATCTCAACGCCATCTGAATAAAGAAGAACACACAACACGATCAGACAGTAAATAAATACTACTGGTGTTTTCCAACAGGAAGGTACATATGTGCATGTTAGGTAATACAAGCACAAATATTCACATATGTCTATATGTTAACTGGGAGAGTATACCAAGTTACACTAGCCAGGGAGTTTTTTTTCTTAGGGGGAAAAGAAGCTGTAAACTATACAAATGCAAAAGAAGATTAAAATAGATTATTCTTATCACTTAAAGTTTCCTGGCTGCTGATTTAAATCATGATTAAAATGACTGAATTAAAGCATGTAAATTAATCTGCCTTGTATGATACAGATTTCCCCTGTGAGTATAGCAGGGCTAGCCAGTTTGTGTGGTTGTGCAGCATCAGCTTCACCTAGCAGAAGCTGACTACCTCTCAGTTTGAACCCCCAATCTTATTTTTCAGGGAGAAACCTAAAATCTAAGCAAGATTCATTGCAAGAGCAATCTAAATTCATTGAAAGAGCTAGCCTCCTGCAGCTAGATATCAAAGCAAGCAGTCACTTTTGTATCTTTTACAACATATCTCCCCCTACATGAATGATTTTCTTAAGGAGAACTCACCGTGCTGACAGAGTATCCTTCATAATAGTGGAAACGTCCCTGCATACACACACAGGGCTGTCCGTTCAGCTCCCCAAACACCAATCTGCCAACATGCCCTGCAACTGGAAATTAATAAAGTGTCATTTGAGTTACAGGTCTTGAAGTCTTTGACTTTAGAGGGATTTGTCAGTTGACAATTATGTGTTACAGCAGGGCCAAGCACTCTGAAACCAGGAGCTGAAAGTTAAATATCAGAGCAGAGAAATACATGGGTTTGTTTTTCCACTGTGAACACATATTTCACTACTGAGGGACTGGTTTGCAGACCAATGTCAAGCACCACATGTTGATTCGAGTTATCTCTTCTTGAGGCTCTGTTGTAGGCTTCCGATGGATGGGTTGCTGATGCCCTGGGTTGCGCTAACCTGTGCTCCGTGGGAAATGAGGAATGTCCTCATACAGAAAGACTGTCTTGTTATCCAACACATCAGCCAGAGCTCCCAGTCCAGATCCACAGATGATGGCGGCCTTTGGGCGCTGGACAGTACGGGCATGTAACCAGTCCGCTGTTTCCTTAGACACCTCATAGCTATTTCTGCAGAAGGAGAAGAGGTCAGTGAGGCTATCAACCCATCCAAAGAACAAGCTTCAAAGGATAAAAGTCCTGAAAAGGTGCAAAGAAAAAGAAATTTCATTAAGACTAAAATAATAGGAGCTTCACTGCTATTATTGAAGATGTTTCACCTTTAATCTCATATGTTTTACCCCTGGCACAGGTAAATCATTTGAATCCTCTTTGCTGGTTTCATTCCACAGTGGAAGAAAGGCTAATGATACTTAGATCACAAACGTCACAAGGCATAACCTCTCCTGCTTCTGATGGGCTCTGGTCTCTCCTGAGTTACTGAAGGAATGCAAAAGCACGGTTAGACCAAGAAATTGTAACCTGTAACAGGGATGTCCAGCCTGCGATGGGGAAATACAGGAGGATGGAAGTCTGAGGATACCTGTACTGCACGGCTGGGATGCTCTGCTGACAAAGGAGTAGACGTTGCCCTCTGCAATAGGTAAACTACTGGGTCACAGGGCAAGCATCACCTACATAGATGGAGAAGCCAATTTTCATAAGTGTTGAGTCCCATCAGCTCCCAGTGCTTCCTTCTGGGGCTGGTACCACATCTCAAACATCCACCTTATCAATACCTTGTGGTTTCAGTACAAAAGGCTAAACATGGAGACTTTGTTCATCCTCTCCCCTCCCACAGAGTGGGCTGCGGGTCACACCTGCAGTCCAGTTCTAGGCAAGAAGCCCAATGACATCAATCTACACCAAAACAAACAAAACCCAGGAATTTGGGCTCCTGGTCTTATGCCATCTGATTTAAGAGTAGACTGCTCACATACCTTAGGAAAAAAGTATCTAATCCAGCACTGAGGCACATTGCCAGACGGTGGGATAGAAGTTGGCATTACACTGCCTGTTGTGATCTGTCTCGTGGGAAGGGAGAGGACTTCCATTTTTAGGCCTGTCAGTCCAGTATTCATCAGATGCATTAATCACAGTTTTGGAACACAATCAATAGCAGAATAATCCCATAATCCCGTTTCCAATAGGACAACGCAAATACTCTCTGAAAGTCAATATCAAGGTTGATTGGAATCTCTCCTCAAAAGCAATGGTACCAATAGCATTTCTTGATAGTGACTCAATCGTTACCACTGATGAGTGGAATTAATGACTGTATATGGTAGAGGACTGGGTCACAGAGTGAACCAACACAGGTAGGGGCAGCAGGTCTCTATATGAAAAACTGATCTGCTTATTAAGGGGTGAGAGAATCAGATACTACGAGGTTGAAGGTGATGGAAAATTGACTGGAGATGCTGAGAAGCAGTAACTGTCTGCTTCATGACTTACTTTTTTTAAAAATCAACTGTCTTGTTTCCAGAGGTGCAAGCCTTAGTCATTGTATGATTCTGCTCTCTGCAGCCTTAGAGTACATATGGAAAAGCTTTCAAAGTGGTGCTCCACACCCCAGGAGGTCTCAGACCATTGATGAAGAGGCTTTGACTGCCAGTGTACAACTGGTTCCTCTAACTGAAGTATGAGATATTCAGATAAAGAATCTCAATTCTATGTTTTTTCTTTATACTGACAAGGTAGGTAGGTATTGCACAGGTATCTTCTGTGAGCTTTTTCATCTCCTGGCTCCTGCTATAAGTCCTGTCCAATATCAGATACATCAAACTTATGTTCCTAGTTACAAACTAGGATGTCAAAAAAATACCTGAATGTGTCATAAACCTGCGATCCAATGAGAAGAAATAACTTCCACATGCATGGATTAAAATGAAGAGTCAAACTTAGCTGAAATACTTTTCAAAGGAAAAGTCTGGAAATGAGAAAGTTTATTTACCATAACATATTGTCAAATTTTCCAAGTGTATCATGAGCTCCAGAAATAAGCAAAAGCTATGCAAGTGACATTAATGAAGCCCACACTTGACTGACTATATTATCCCTCACTCCCAGACAAAAGCTTTAAAAGTGCTTTACATACATTAATGAATGATTCCCCAATTTCTCTGTTGAATAACTGTAATCCTTGGTTAGAAATCAGAGGGAGCCGAGAGAATTTAAATGTAATACCCAAGCTTTTGACTTACCTGTGGCAGGCATGAGAAAAGAACAAGGTCACCAGGATCTGCTCTTCCTCGTGACCTTTAATCCCCTTTTTTCCCAGTATTTTTTTTTAAAAAGGTACATACACCCTTGCAAAATAACATTAAAGAAAGTATATTATTCCTATATCCCCAGAAATTTTAGGTGTGTGGGATGAATCCCATTCAATGGCTGCTGAAGACACTGGGATTGACTGAGCTGTGCCAAGTTCAGGGAATTTTTTTTCCTTCTAAACAGAAGATGTTAAAATATTTCTTATCCAAGGAAGTAAAACACCAGTGCTACATAACTCTCCTTGCCTGAAAGGAGCTTCAATGGGCACACAGGGGCCTTGTGGAGCCCTCTCCATCCCAAAGGCTTTGGACACGTCAGAGCTATCCTCAGTGCTGAGAGCACAGTGATGCAAAAATTAATCTGCAGTGCCCTCCTTGCAGTACTTAGTTTTCAGAAATCTTCTGGATGCACACCATCAAAGGGAACCAGCAGGCACAGATAATTCTGGACCTGATGGAGATACCCGCTCAGTGGGAGCAGAGGGGGAGTTTGACCTGTGGGTCACCAAACACAACATTTATCCTGGAAGTGCATGAGCCCAAAGTCTGTTCAAGCTTTTTGACAGCCTGAATTAATACATATAGCACAAAGCCCCCTAGAGCTACTCCGTCTCCAACAATACACACCTAATAATAGTGCTCAGTAGCATCGCTTTGGATTAAATCACAAGATCAGCTGAAAACACAATCCCCTTTATTGTGATTGCTGTCATCCACTGGAGAAAAGCATTTGTTGCAAAACACAGGACTGTCATCAATGACAGATCTTTTATGGCATAAAAAAACCCCACCCTCGTGCTTCTAGGTTAAGTTGAAAGCAAATCCATGTAAAAAACAGATATACCCTAATAAATAGATAAAGCATTACGTTTCCAAGGGGCATACCAGTATACATATTTGCAGTGTATGCCTCTCCACACCATGATATTTGCCTCTTCTGGCCTATAACCTCTCCTAAGATCACCTGCTTGCCATATTTCATAATACCAGCACCTGACACAGGCAGATGGCCAGATTCCTCTTCAATAATAAGATGTTTACTTTGGAGCAGCCCTTGTCTGACATTTATTGAGTGCTCAGTAGGAAGAAGAGGAAAACAAGGCAAGGAAAAACGATGCAATTTCACCAGCCCCTTCCAGCTTGGATGTCTGCGCATCCCCTATTTCACAGCACCTTACCTGTCTTCCTCAGCATAGGCCATCCTCCTCCTCTCTGGTTAACCAAAAGAAGGAGATGGTTGCTGGAAATGGAGCTGCAGGGTTTTATTTGACCAAAGAGCAGAGGCCCATTGAAGGTGCAGAAGCTGCTGCTGTGTGTCAGTGAGTCAGGGAGGTGCGTCCCAGCTTTGCTCTGCTTTCCCCTGAGCATCTTTAATCCCCGAGTAGGAGGGGCATGTTCAGGACATTGCTTTTCTGGTCTCACCTCCCATGACACATATGCTCTAGAGCTCTGCAGAAAGCTTACAGGCACACACACTTTATAATGCAGATTAAGCCTGGAAAGTTCACACATGCACACAGAGAGGAACAGCTGATAACGGATCTGCATAGATATGCACACTTTTGCATCAACTGGGAACCAGCTAGCAGCTGGAGTCACCCGCTCCTTTGCATTTCAAACCCCTGGGACCACGGCATGAGCTCACTGGGTGTGTGCAGACTCGGCAAGACAACCTGCACCACCTACTACTGCAACAAGCAACGAGACATTTCCATAACTCACATTATTCTCTTCTCATTCTTTCATGGCAACCAGAGGCAGCATCCCATTAGCTCCCCCCAGTTTGTTTGTTTGCTTCCCAAAACCTCCCCCCACGTTGAATTGCCTCACCCAGCTCAAAAGGAAATATTGCCTTGAGATATGCTAAACCCCTCTTCAGCTGATTACATTATGGAAGACACAGGGAAAAAAAAAAAGTCAGGGCCCCCACCATCTGCCCCTCTAATTTTAGCTTTGTTTTACACAGAAATAAAGCTTAAAACCACCTTGTCATACATGGGTCTGTACAACAGTGTCTGATCCCAACAACTAATGTGAACTATATTTTACAGAGCCATAGATACTTCCAAGACAACTGAATGCCAGAAAAGTTTACAAAAATTGGTGATGAGTAGATACTTTATGTGCCTCAGGTGGAAGGCACTACAATAGGCACTCATAGCTTACCAGATCCAGAAAGGCCACATGGGAATAGAATTTATAAATATTCCAAAAAAGAAGAAAATCTTAATCAGGGCTTGTCAATTCCTAGCCTAATCAGCCAGACAAAAAAACAACGTAGGAAATTGGGCTACATCAGTTTCAGGTCTCATAATACTTCTTATTACTTGTTATTATTCTTATTAATAATATTTCTTATTATTCATGTTTGCTTGTTGGTCTTGAAGACACCACATCAAATATTCCCTTGGTTGCCCCAGGAAACTGTCTCTGAGAACTTCAGAAGTCAAACAAGGTAATAAATGCAGCCAGAAAGACCTGGGCATTTTTAGAGAGATACTTCACATTGGAAAGCAGAAACCAACAGCATCCCCCTCAATTCCAGCACAGGTTGTGAGTCCATAACAACCAGCAGGATTTAGGCATCATGTGTAGTAGCAAGTTCTGTTAATAACAGGTATTTGTTGAGACACAAGAAGAAACAAAAACTGGATCTGAACAGAAATCCTAAGTGCCCTTTCCCCTCAAGTTCTGGACCTTCTCCCTTTTTCTCATGTTCACACTTCCACTTACCTTATCTTGGAAAATTGAAAACACCTCTCCTAAAAAGATCAGTGGGGATGCGCGGTGCCATATTGCTGCACTGGCATGGTACACCCTGCTCTCAGTTTGCTGGGGCAATGGAAAAACCAGCATTAAGGACCTAATACTGCTCTTTCATCTTCCTTTCTATCCCCTCTTTCTCATTCTGTGTTTACTATGTTCCCCCTTGTTTTTCAGATAAACCTCCTTTTTGTCATTCTCGTCTTTTTGAGCCTTAGTCATCTGTCTCTGCCTCTTTGGTATACAGTCTTCTTTCCCTTCAGCATTGTTTTTCTACACAAAACACAGTAGGCTGATAGCAGGGATGGTTCTAAGTAGATTTAACTGCATCAAACCCCATGTCTAAGAAGACCCCCCCCACCACTTGCCTTCCTACACAAGGCAATGTACCAAAGGACTCTGCAAGTCACCACCACCCTAAGCAACATCTGCCTAAAGCCAGGGTCTTTAGAGCCACCTCCCAGCTCCCTCAAGCCTTTTTGCCCTCTGGAAATCCATGCTCCTCTTGCCAGCACTCAGGACTTCTTTGAAAGCCATTATTTGCTCCCATTAAATTAAATGGTAGAGCAGTGTTAGGCCCTTACTGTTGATTTTCCATACAGTTCTTCAGTATCAGTGGAGTTCCGATGCCCCCCAGATATGTTCCCTTGTTTAGCCTTAATCTGATTACATTCATTAATCCGATTCTTTTTTGCAAAGCAGACAAGAGATCAGACAGCCCGAGAGAACAAATTGGGAAGAGCTCATCTGAGACAATCTTCGCCATAGTTTGTATTTCCATGGAAAACAGGATTATCAAAAAGGGACGATTTTATCTCTCTTTCTTTCTGCTGTATCTGTCATTTAACAGTGACAAAAATTACTTGAGTTTTAACCTGTAATGTTGCATTGTCTGAACAAGTACTAGGTAGGTTTGCCCTACTAGAAAAAAATAATTTGAGCATTGAGGGCATTCATGCCAATAACACTGCAGAGAGGAAGAAAAACAAAATCTAATTAAGCTTCAGTTCCTGTACAAGTACTCCAAAGTAGATTTATCTAAAAAAAAATAAGTTATTGAATAGATTGCATAATCCTTAAGAAAGAGTATTGACAGTCGTCCATCCTGAAACAATTTCAAGTCATCTTACTCTTTCTGTATGTATGCGTCTGCAGCAAACTGTATCTATAATCCTGATCTTATTGACTTGGGTGCAATTCAAGTCCTATTTCTGTAGCTAGAACTTCAACTGCTACAGGATGGAGATAAAAATCACCTGAAATAATTTTGTAACGACGCTTTATATTCCTACAGCAATTTCTATCTAAACAAGTGTCATGAAGTATTTTGCAAGCATTTCATCAAAACATTTAATTAATGCTTTAGGGTAAGTCTCCCACTTCCCTGTGAGCTCACATGATCACAGTCTCAGCATGGCATATCACGGGTGAAGTGCTCACCTTTATCTCTGTATGGGGGGCATTCTTCCCTAATTTTATACTTAGAAAAGCTAGGACTCTGCCTCAGTATTTTGGAGGATGGTGAAACAGAAACCCTGGAAAGATTTTGCTTTTCTGCTGATTGCCTAAGGTGCAGGTTCCAGGTTTCATTAAAAAATTACTAAACATATGCTAAGAACTAATTGGGATTTTTTCAGCAATTTGGAAACTCATCATTTGTTTGTGCATTGGCTATCCTAGACAGCCACAGGAATATCAGCAGAAAGGTAAAAACCCAACTTATATATCAGAAAAGTTATTCCCCTATGGATCATATTAATAGAAATCTCTAGGGAGATCTGCCTGAAGTGATGTGCATGCTACTCGTTGCACATCTTCAGGAAAGAGACCTCCAACTATAGGGAACACAGAAAAGGAATGACCAGGGGAACAGAAAACCAGACATTCAAAAAGCTTGTCATGGTTAGCTGAGCAAAATGAAACCTAAGCAATGCTCTGATGACAGCCTGAAAATGTTGCCATGGATGCAGGAGAGAGACAGAAGCTTAAGGCAGGCACTACGGAGCTGGATGTTCAGTTAGGCTAGATGTCAGAAAAAACCTTCTAGCTACCCAAAATGTGCAGTCCTGAATAGCCCTCCTGTAAAGGCAGTGGAGAAAAAGGCTTTTAGGGTGGAGATTAGTTAATGTAAAGGACTGCATGATGTTCCCTGGCAGGGAAGCAGACAGAGCATTCACAAACTGTATGCCAGCTCTGTAAAAACTCCCCACCTTTATAAGGCCCAGGCAGAACGAGAAAACAACTTGACCAAATCCATGAACAAATGATACCACAGAAATCAGGAAAAGAGCAGAGATGTCCTAAGATGAGCCAACATTTCCATCTTCCAGCTCTAAGAGAAGCGCTAAAGGATATGACTGGGGTCATAGCCATGAGAGTTTGTGGAAGCAAAAGCACTTGTGTCAAGGAACTCAGCAGAGACAGGGTATAAAGAAAAGGATCACTTGGGGATTTGAGGGAAGGAAGGTGTACTTTCTGAAGGGACAGAAACAGTGCAACCGGAGATCAGTGGTACATCGTGCTTGGGAATAACGGATGGGCTGTGTGCTGGGAAAGTGCTTTGAGACAGGCAGAAAAGTCACAGAGCTCAGGGGAAAATGTGCTGGAGGGCTGCGACAACATTTTAGTGAGCCTAAGCGGAAAAGAAACCATGGATGCTGGTGGACTAGAGCCTACAAAAGGCCAGATAGCCCTCCGGCCTACAACAAATACAAATAACTTGGAAAAAAGAACTAAAAGTTGTAAGGAAGAAGGAAGAAATGCTTTCAGGCCTGTCACAGAAGGAAACAATTCTCAAATAGTTAAATGGTACTACACAGCTGTATCTATCACTAATGATTCTTGAAAATAGATCTATTCCCCTGTTCAACACAGGTAAATACAGTTCATATTCTGGCATCACAGCCAACTTCTGGCCTGGAGCTTCTCCATAGAAAGAATATCTTTTCCCTGGGAAAGACACTTAGCCATATCAAAACCACACAGGATCAAAGTTTATTCTGTTCCATGACCTGGTTTATCTCTCAATAATTGATAATACTTTCACATAGCAGAGCTCAAGGCCAGACCTTTCACCAGCCTTCAGGACCATGTTCCCATTTCCCCAAAACCCCTCTTTGGAAAACACTGCTTTCTGGAGGTCAGTAGGCAAACATGCTACCACTTGTAACCATGGTCCATCAGGAAGTATTTATGCTGTTCCAACAAGATCAAGGGTTCTTCCTGATCTCATTTGTGGTCCAATAATGCCACAATATTGAATAGTCTATAGGCTTTCCTTTTCATTTCCATTTCAGTGATTTTTGTTTAAAGAAGCAAAGGCGAGACAACTGCAGATCACTTAACTAACTGTCTACATTAGACATTGCTTACTGAAGTCTCAACTCACTTTCACTGTAGCAGATTGGGGCTGCAATTCCTCTGGTGAGGAAAGGGAAATGCAAGCCTGCCTGACTTTGGACCGCAAGTCAGAAGCGGAACAAGAGCCCTTACAGACTAGCCTCCAGCATCACGTGAAACCACTGTATTAAGGACAACCAGCCTTCTCAGCATCGTGCATCACATACCCATTTCTTGATACAGCTGAGAGCTGCAAGAGATGTAAAACATAAGACACAGCCCCAGATGGGGCTCCAAGGGTACAAAATAGCAATGGCTCCTTAATAATCCCACCTCTTCACTGCAGGAGAAGGCTTAGCTGTACGTGCAACCAGTTCTAGGCAAATGAGCAACATTAACCTCACAGTCCCATTTGGATGGCTACCTATTCCTGGCACAGACTCCGGTTACCCAGATCGTAACATAATAAACTCCAGCATGGAAGTCACAGCTCAGCCCTTCAGAAGCCCCATGGTGGCCTTTCAGTTTTAATCCAAAGTATTGCTCTAGAACTGCCTACAGTGAGCTTTAAAAACACACTGGCCTAGCCAGACCTACAGGTAAGTATGCAGCAAGATTCTCTTCAGATCTCAAGAAGGCTGAAGGATTTGCGCAACTGATGGGCCTTCACAAATCCCTGTGAGGAACCTGTTAGCTAAAAATATCCCTGTAAATCTTTCCTTCACCTTTGGTATTTGATCTGCACTTTTTAAAAAAGTCTGTAACTAGCATTAGTTTTTTTATAAGACAGGCAATCTCCCCAACTTACAAACGTGTTGCATCCTGCACAGTGAAAGCTAAAATCATAGTGAGATCTGACGCAAAACCAAACATTTTTGGGGCTGATCTTTAGAAGCAGGGTGAGAAGTACTGGGTGTCCTACAGAATCCATGAATTTTCTTCCAGGGCTCAGCATAGTCCTCCCAGTGGCCTTCCTGCATATCCAGTATGATTAAAATAGCTCCCAAACACTCCAACAACACTCATCAGCTCCATCATTTAGCATGCTTATGCTATATACACATTTTGCTATTTTTACTGCAAAAAGAGTCAAAGACTACTTTGTTCTTCATTAGGTGTTTAACTTCCAGTCTTTACCTGCACAATTTTCCTTTAAAGAGATATGCTTCTGTTCAGGGCTTTTAGTGCCACAGCTGTGCACACATCTTTATGATCTGACAGGGAAATGATCAGCTATCTATCAGCTGATAGAAGATCAGCTCCACAAAAGCAGGACCAATCCAGAAAGAAAGTGCCATGCTCACATTTTAAGTGTCTCACATGACAGAAAAAAGATTGTTTAGCAGAAGATAGAAGTATCTACTTCAACTTCTCCTTTAACTTGAGGAGATTTAGGAAAACATAGGAGGAAACTGAAGCTCACAAGCTGAGTTAAAAGTTTAATTCCAGAAAAAGCATCATATTTTTCTTAAGTATACTATGCAATTAGATTTGTTTTTAGCTAGGAATCTTGTAGTGTTGCATGCTCAGATGATGAATTGTTCTGCCCTGGATTTTGGGAGAGCCTTATCTTTGGTAGTCTAGGAGATTGTGATACTGAGAAACTACAAGCTATAGTAAAAGCCTAGCAGGGTAGAGCTGAAAAGGTAAGAGTCTTACTTACTGCTTTCCTCCACACGCAGAATTGTAGTGGTCCTCTTGCTGATATTATCCAAACAGCTAAGAACTCAAGAGCATATGAAAGAATGATTTAAGGGTTTAAGAAAAAGACTAAAGAGAATCAACTCCTAAACTTAATGATTTAAATAACTTATTGGCCACAGAACTCAGTCAGTACAAGTCTTGTGGCCAGTGCACAAGCATACAAGAAAAATAAAATGAAGACAACTGAAACATCACAGCATTACTAGAGATACCACAGAAAAAGCCAAAACTAAAGTAAAGCTCTGTTCAGGTTTTTACTACAGACACAAAGAAAAAACATTCCACACTGCAACATATCTTCAATATTCCTATTATGTTTAAAAACTCTTAAGCTAAAGATGAAATAAGGTAAGATTTTTAGCAATGACATTACTGCATGCCCTGCACAATCAAATCACAACCACCACAGAACACAAAATACCCCACAGCCACCTACCTCACTAACTGCTCATCTGCTTTAATTAATTTACCCTAACTTTCCCTCCCACCCTTAAGTAGCCAAAAATGTTGCTTGATTGGAAAGTGATTTTCAAACAGGCCAATCAAAGGGTGAAGAGGCATTGCAGACATACATATAAATCTTCCATTCGCAGTTAACTTCTTTCCTATTAGGTAAAGCTTCTTTCTGGTGAGGTAGCCAGTAAGTATCTTTTTATTATACCACTAATCAGGGATGATTATGGCAGCTTTAGCTTTAAAATTGCACTTTTTTGTTTCTTTTAAAGGGATTTAAAGAATAAGTTTTAGTTCTGTATTCATGTTTACAGGTAGTACGGGGCTTTTTTTCTACATTTAAGGCTCCTTCTATTTGGTACCTGTATTGTTTCATTCTAGAAAACAAGCAAATAGCTTAAAAGGAACAAGGGAGGTTGATCTGTGTGTAGATTTATATATTCAGCTATGACTTCAACATTTAAGTTCTCTAATGTACCTACAGCAGGAGAAAAGATAACTTACTGACCCATTATTATTTTTATATACTTAAGATGGACACATCAAGACTTTCTTTTATCCATTGCTAAGCTTCTAGCAAAATTTTCCCTAGTTATATTGGTTCTGGAGTTTCTTGTACTCATAGCACTGATTTTCTGTGCTAAAACTACTTCTGGCTTAGGGCTAGGTTGAGCTTTATCAAGGTGAAATATGTGAGAGTGCAAAAGTCAACAGCAGCAAGCCTGGTGTTAAAGCAAAAGGACTTTTGCTAACTCATGCTATGTTGTTGGCTGTTTGTTCCCAGGTGGGCTGGCAAGTGCCTCATTGCCTAACCTGTATGTAGGAAAATCCCTACAATATTTAAAACCTCAAGAGCAGCTTACACCCTTTGTCTGCTGTAGTAATTAATCTGTTTTGACCTTCCTACCTCTGCTTGCAGATTAGATGCTGTTTTGCTGATGAGAAAGCATATGTGTATTTTCAGGGATGCTGCAATGGATGCTTGTTTCTGCTTGTTATTGCTCTGTTAGTATTTTAAGGCTCTTACTTTCTGCTAACCCAAGTTGGGTGTAATGAGTCTCCTAGGGATTTAGAAAGGTCAGCAAAGTGGGTTATCACGTCCAAGAGTTGTCTTAAGTATCTACTTGTGGGTTACAGAGGTCAAAGCCAACTTTCAAGGAGCATCACTGCTGACTCTGGCGATAGGGCCTGGTCTGGAAAGTGTGTGCTGAGATGTGGCATCTGCAGGGCTGGGAGATGATGGTGCTTTGCTCTGGGTCAGCTGTGTCCAGCTCTGCAGGGCAGACATCCCAGGTCTTTAGGCAAAAAGATGCAGGGCACTGAGCCCCAGCTCTGCCTCTCCAGTGGGCTGCTAGCTGACTGCAACAAAGCTTTCTTCCTGTTATTTCTCTGGGCAATCTGCAAGTGTTGTCATGTGGTAAGTGCTAATTGAACAACTTCTATAAATGTTTCTTTATTTTGGGCCGCACTACTGTTAGGAGGTAGATGTTCTTCCCTCCTTGCAGGAGTCAGCCAGCTCAAATAAGCCGGTTTTTCTGGTGAAAAGCAGCTGGCTTTTTAGCTCCTGTGAATGAAATGGCCTCGAATGGGTGCCCTGCCTCCAGCCCTGCCTGAGCAGCCTTCGCCTGGGCAACGTGGAGCCTCGTTGCTCCCCACCCCCTCCCAATAGCAACAGCAACGAGTGGCGCTCTAGGCCTTCACCTGCTGAAAACCTCCTCCGTATTTAATTTAAAAAAAAAGTAAGTAGAAGCCCTCTTAGCACGGGGGGAGGTGCCTGCGGTGGCCCGCTGAGGGGAGGGCAGAGCGGCTGAG